TTTATCTTTCATTATGTATTTAATTTTAAAAATACAGTAATATCTTTTTTATTATTTTTATTTTTATTTTCTATATTTTATAATTTTTTTCTATTATTCTTCAATAGCAATAATTAATATTTTTATTTAATTATTAATATATCATTTTTATTTAAATTCTATTATTATTTATTCAATCAATTCATTCATAATAATTTTATATTAATTTATATTTAAAATCTTATTGGTATTTTATTTTAATTTCTTATTATATTAATTTAATTAGTAATATATAGATTTTACACAAATTTCTTTTTAATATTATACAATAGTTATCATATTTCAACATGTTATAGATCTATACTTTTATTGATTTTACTTTGTAATCTATATATATAAATAATATGTAAATTAGCATAACTCAAATTTGCTATATATATAATATGAAAATTAACTTGAAATAAGATTATATTCTAGTTTTAACTTTTGTCTTGTTTTGTTTTTTTGTTTCTTTTATTCACTTTATTTTTGTTTTATTTGTCTTATTTTCTATTATTTTTTATTATTTTTCTCTTATTTTCTTTTTGTTTATTTTAGTTTTTGTTTTAGTTTAGTCTTATTTATTATTATATTATTTTTGTTTTTTGCAACTATATTTTTAATTCTAATTTATACTGTATATTTAATTTTAATTTCACTTTATATTTAGCTATTTCTAAATATTTCATACATAAGAACTAAAAATAATAATAGTATAAATCTTGAAGAATTTTGACTAATTAAGTTATATTTACTCAGAATAAATAAGTATAAAAATATAAAAATTATAAAAATTATAAGAATATAAATGTATAAAAGTATAAAAGATATAAAAAGTATATAAGAAAAAATATATAAAATATAAAAAATATATAAGTATAAATATATAAAAATATAAAAAATATAAAAAATATAAGAGTATAAATATATAAAAATATAAAAGTATAAAAAATATAAGAGTATAAAGTAAAAAAAATAGAAGTATATGAATATAATAATTAATAATATATAATATAATTATAAAATATTTTAAGTTTTTTTATATAATTTTTATAATTTTATAAGATATTACAAATTATAGAATTAATAATTTTTATAACATAATTATAATATTTCTTTATTACAATTCTGAAATTTTTTCTTAATATTAATTCTAATATTTTTTTACTACTAATTCTAATATTTCTCTATTATTAATTTTAATATTTTTTTACTATAATTCTAATATTTCTCTATTATAATTCTAATATTCCTTTATTATAATTCTGATATTTTTTACTATAATTTTGATATTCTTTCTCTATTATTAATTTTGATTAATGTAAGAGTATTTATATATAGAATATTTATATATATAAATATAGAATATTTAAATATATTATAATATATATAATTATAATAATAAATATAATTTTTATATTCAAAAAAAGATTTGTTTAACTTCCACTTGTACAGTTAAACTTTTTATAGTTATACTTATTTATATTTACACTCATTTATAGTTATACATCTCTATAATTACTTTATTTTGCTTTTTCATTTACATATAAATATAGTAAAAAACTTCTTTATAGTTATATTCTCTTTATAATTATTAAATTTTGCTTTTCTGAAGATAATAATTATAGAGAAATTTGAGTATATTCTGAAAAAATAAAAAAAGTTTCATTCAAATTCTACTAATATTCTGACTATATTTTGAAAAATAAAAAAAGATTTATTCAAATTTTACTAATATTTCTAAAAGTTAAAATATAAGTGAAATTTGAATAGATTTTTTTTTTATAAATATCAGACTATATTTCAGAAAGTATTAAATATTTTTTAGAAATTAACAAAATTATTGAATTTTTGGATCTGAATTAAATATTTAAAAATAGAAAAAACTCCAGAAATTTTCAAACTCAAAATCAGAAATTTTCTGAGTCAAAAATATTTTATTTTTATAGAATTTTTTGCTTATAATATTATAAAAATTTTGAATTCTGATTAAAAAATATTACTTCATTATAGTTTTTTCTTTAATTATTATTTTTTATATTATAATTATTTTATTTTGCATGTTCAAAGTGAAATCTAGAAATCTAGAAGATTTTGATATTATTATTATCAATATACTCTCTATATCAACTGATCAAATTTAATTATTATTAACATTATACTAGTAATTCCGAAAATAAAAATAATAATAAATAATTAATAATATTATTAATTAATCAAATACAAAGAAATAATTATTAAATATAATAAATTCAAAATATTCAAAAATCAGAATAGATTTATTTAATTAATAACAAAATAATTTGTGATTATCAGATTTTTTTTCACAGTCATTAAGTTCACCAAGCTAACTCTGAGAAAAATAATTTGTTATACTTACAATGAGATTTACATTAATGAGCTTGTTAATAATTATTATTCTGCTCAAACAGTCAAAAAGCAACAGTATAATAATATAAATAATATAATAAAAAATTCTAAATTTTTATTTTTTACAAAAATATTTAATATTGTTATATAATATAATTTTATATTAATTATTAGTTAAAATTATTATTTAATCTTATTGGATAATTTTGAGAATACATATTTATATTTTAATTAGTTAAGATCTTTATATTTATATCTCATATTATATTATTTATATTATTATTTATATTATTATTTATATTATTATTTGTATCATATTTATATTATTATTTACAATAATATATAGATTATTTATTTAGATTTACAAAATAAACAAATAAGTGAGTGATCAAGCAAGCAAATAAATGAGCAAGTAAGTGAATAAGCAATTTTCTTGTGAATATTATTGATAGTTTTGATTTAACAATTTTATATAAAAGAAGTATGTATTTTAGCTTAGAAAAATAAGTCAATTAATTAATTAATTAAGTTCTAAATATTAATGACTCAAAAATAAACTTCTTTGATAATAATATTCTTTTGAAATTAATATATTTAGAATATTTAAATATTCCTTTTATTATTTCATTATTTAAATATTTAAAGTTTTATTTTAATTTTGTTATAATCTTTCATATATTTGTAATTTTATATTTATAATTTCTTATATATTTGTAATATTATATTGATAATCTCTTACATATTTGTAATGTCATATTTATAGTTTAATCTCTCACATATTTGTGATGTCATATTATTGAAATAATTTAATAAATTGAATTTATAATATTTTATTTGTTTATAAATCATTATCATAATTATTTTATTAAATACACATTAGATTCTAAGAAGATTTCTTAAGTCACTTTTTAGCTGACTAGAAATTTAATAAATACATATTATTATTTTTAGTTATTTATCTTATCTCTCTCATTTGACTTGAAATACATGTTGAGCATATAAAAAGATATAATATATTTGAAATTCAAGTAAAACAATGATAATATTATTATGTATAAACTTATAATAAATATTATTATATACTTTTTTCTTGAATAAATCATTTTTGTTTACATTATATCTAGGATTGAAATATCACAAATTATATAATCTTTTCTTTTTTGTACTATTATTAACTTATTATATATAAGTTTATTATTAATATTATATATATTTCTATATTTTCATATTTGATAATTTTAGCATTAATACTTATTAATATGATCACTCAATTAATTATTAATTAATAATTAGTAATTCATTTAGTCAATTATTATAAGAAAAAGATAGAATTAATTTTATTATATATATAGTTAATATTATCAATTTTAACCTAATTTTTATATCTATAAAACTAAAAATATTTAATATTAAGAACATATTAATTTATTATAAGGTAATATTTTATATCAAAATTACAAGTAATTGTTGATATTGCAATTTTCTTTCAAAGTAAGTATGATATATTTTGTAAATTTTTGAGCTATTTGATTGTTCAGTAATATAATTACATATAGTAACTATCTTTGAATATATTACTGAAATATTATTATTTGTATTTAATATATTACTTGATATATTACTTGATTTATTACTTGCTAAATTAATTGCTGAGTTGATTGCTAAATTAGTTACTGAGTTATCTGCTAAATTACTTGTTAATATTTTCTTATTTCAATTTTTATTTTTATTATAATTATTCCAATAATAAATTATCAAGTATACTTAAGTTAAAAATAGTTTGAGTGTGATTTTACTCATATTGAAAATAGTTAAGTGAGTGCACTTTCAATTGTATTAGAAATAATAAGAGTAAGTGTGATATTATTTTGTAATAAAGAAATGATATTAGACTCATACCTAATAAATTTTTGTATAGGATATTATAGCACAATTATTTTATATAATGTAATAATTATTTTTTACATTATGTAAAAGTAATCTTATAAAAATTTTTTCTATACTCAAAATTTAATCTTTAGTCCATTTTTTTGTATCACTACTAAAGGATGTGATAATTTGTAGAATCATTTTGGATCATCCTTGGATGGAACCTAGTTCTATAATTAGTCATGTGATGAAATGGCAGTCCTAAAGTTAGAATTATTATGCTAAAGGATCATTTAGGACTCAGTTCCTAAGAATTGATTAGCATTCCTAATTTTAGTTTTTTGAGTCATCTTACGTAAGTACTATCTCTTAATTCCAGGAAGATATGGTTCTATTTCATTAGAAATCTGTGTTTTTGCCATTTGATTGCTAATATTGTTTTCTAAACTAATAATCTTAACCTTTTTTCATATTCCTCACTATAATAATACCAACGCAATTTTTCTTTCTGACTAGTTTTTTCAGGCTTGTCAAATAAATGAGCTAAATGAGGTACAGAATCTGGCGTTAGATCATTGTCAATGGAAATGTCTGAATTTTGTTTCTATACATACAATTCAGAGATTTATTCAGATCTCGTAAGGATATAAAATTAATGCTTCTAATAAATTCGAATAACTCATGTATTAAATCTTGTTCCACTTTCTGATTATAGGGAATTTCTATTTTTGGAGAAATGGCACTTAGTTCAGGATAAATGACACTTTGTGTCTGTGCTTGATTTGTAGACAATTTGGGCTCGGGACAAGGAAGCTTTTCTCTAAAATACTTGATTGATCCGATTCAAACGCAAGGTCATCCTTACTCTGTGAGACAAAAATTTTGAGAGTCAGAAAATGCGTTCTGAGATTTTGATTGGCTATTTTTCTGTTAGAAATAATAATAGAGACAGTATCATGGGAAGTTGAGAGTACCTCTCGAGATCGAAGCTTCTTTTCTCTGTTTCTCTCCCTTATTTCATTACTAACATTGTTCTTATATACCATTTCTGCAAATTCTAAGGTCTCAGCTGAATCATCATTGATAATATCTTGTGGTAAAGAGGTTGCAGATGTTCCAGGCTCTGTTAAAGATTTGGATTGTGTTAAGCTATGCTCTAGTTCAGGTAGTCTGGACAAGCGGAGGATTGTGAGAGATGCTTAGTAATGACTCGGGTCTGCTTTTTGATTTCCTCAATATCATGTCTTAATTTCGTTACTTCTGCTTTAAGTTCAGTATTCTCTTCTATAACCTGTCTTAGCTTCATGTTCTCGGCCTTGACCTCAGTATACTTCTTTCTAAGTTCACTAACTTCAGCTACAAGCTTGGAATTCTGTTCTTCTAATAAATTGTGTATTTGCCATTGTTTTACATAAAACACAGTTATATAATCACATGAAATATTGGCGTGTAAGCGCTAACGCGCCTTTGCTTTATTGATTATAATAAAAATCAAAATGAATTAGGCTATAGATACTACATATTCTACATTTCAAATATGCTCAATGTATAAAATATATATTTATTAATAAAAAATAGTTTTCATATGATGGACTTTTTCGATTTTTTACGAAAAAAAAAGTGCCGAATACTTTTGTCAGGGGATTGTACAAGTAGGAGTTCCATTCTGATTCTTACATGCCAGATCTTTTTTACAAGGTAGAACCGAACAATTGTCACCGAAGTTAAGCCCATCATCACAATCACCAATAAGCCTAGAAAAAAAACTACAACGCTTCACGAGGTGGAGAGATTGATGATCTATCAATGAAATATCAATCAAGCATTAAGTATATGGTGAGAAACTGGAATATTTACGAGAAAAATTCAATATAAAGTAAATGGAAGAGAATTGATTTTAACCTTTAGGAACAAGTAATGCATGAACCGGCATGCTACAGACGATACAACAGATAATGAGAAGCCAAAGAAAAACCTTCATGTTTTTGTAAGGTAGAATGGTAGGATATATGCGTTAAAAATTAATGGTAAGATTAGATATCCAAATTTTCTGTTATCCAGAACAGAAAATCTTTTTGTATAAGTTAATTTTTAAGGAATAAAGGAGCGTGATATTAGCCCTGAATGGAGGAGGGTTATTTAGATGATAATATACCAACCTTTCTGAACAGGCGTTATATATATAGAAAATTACAGATTAATTAATTTATGTCTCATTTTAGAATTCTTGCTTTTAGCAAAGTTCGTGATGTTGAAGTAATAGGTCCAGCTCTTTTGACCATATCAAATCCAATACGTATTGTTTCAATATATGTGCGATGTTAATCATCATCCGCAACAATTATTAACGTTAATTACTCTCCATACGAAATTTCGGATGTAATGTCAATTCGAGTTAACTACATGTATATTCTATGTAATACAATCCCCTCATAATATTTAGCAGAACCCGGTCGCAATGTAGGCCCGACCCAGTCGCTGTAAAATTTTTGCTATATAATACATGTAGTAAGTAAAATTTTGCCCACTGTTAATGATAGAAAATAATTATTAATTGGTTTCACGGAGTGAGGATACTAACGTAGATCATTCAGGGTCATTCATGATTCATGTATACAACCATATGCTCTATCTCATACAATGTAAATGAATTTATTAACCGTGATCGTTACATAAATGAAACAGTAATTATTATATATTTATTATCGTTATATGCCATATAACACCTGATATTTTCCACTGACCGAGGAATAATTACAGATAATGGTCTTAAACTTAAATGAATTACTACTCGTCTAACTCCTCATCAAGCAATACAGGCTCATGATGAAAACGGATGGAACACACTCGAAAGAGTTGATACTAATTTTGAGAAATATCTTGATGAGGGCTGAGCTCCCGGGACTATATCCCGAAAAATTACATATATGCATCACATGAGGTTGCTCTCTGGGGCTCGATGTCATATGATAAATGTTTGAGAAACAAATAAATGTTTATTCTATGTTGAAAGAACGTAATTACAAAATTTCAGAATGTACATAACAAGATCTATATATTCCTCCCAATCTATTTTTGGCCATTCTAGCTCCGCTGATTTCTCTAACCAGCCGTTTTTTCTATTACACTATGATACATTAGGTAGCGGATCTTCTGCCTTCAATCCACGACATGTTCGTCTCAAATCTAAAGAAAAATCGATTATCATTAACTTTTTTTTTCGCTCACATCTTACAAGGCTAATACTACGATAAAGTCTTACCGATATACCCTCTCCTACAATCAGTGGATGTTGGTGGAACTCGAATTTGATTTGCTTTCGGCTTATCGAGTTTAACCTGGCGATTTAATCCACGATCATCATTCAAGTTTTGTCGAGGGATCGTAGGAACAACTGATCCATTCGCATCTCGCTCAATTCTATCTTCTATCCTTTCGATCTTTATAAATCTGTGAAAAGTCCCGTAAATTATGAAAAAACGAAGCATGTATGAAATATACGACGCTATGTCGAATTCCCTTTGTGACGGGAAGATTGCCATGTAAGAGGAAAATGCGACTTGTCCAGGCCTGAGAGGTATTATGATCTGGAGTTGCGGGAAGCAAAGTTCACCCCCTCAAAATCTCCCAATGCGACCAAGCAACAGAAACTATTCGGCTCGTCGTGTTCATCCCAGTGGAAATCGCTAATCGTATTAAAATTAATAGCTATCATCGGGAAGATCTCAAAAAGTCTAGGCGCGAACGGTCCCACTTTAATTCATTAAGCTTCTCATACAAACTCTTATAATAGTCCTTGACAAATCGATTAATGCAATTTGATAATGGTACCAACTCACGAAGCAGATTATCTACGCATTTTTGGTGTTCGGTGTTATGGGCACTGGTGGTGTTAGAGCTAGTATAGGGGAGAGGATTATATAATGTATATGCGCCGAAATGTTCGATGAAATTTGCCTAGAATTCGCTTCGATGCGAAGGATGTCTAAAGTGTGAAAGTAGTACTCGCCCACCGCATTAGTTGCTTGTGTTACAGCGGTATGATCATCAAGATACTCTAAATGGATTAAGGTTCGATTATCCCAGTCTACAATGCACTCTGGTTCTACTATATAACGAAAATCTACTAATCCATCCAACGAGTAAAAATTGTCACGTGCCGATATAATAAGTTTGGTTTTTCTCTTCGGGTGTTACGTGCGGTATGGTGCATAAAATCTAAGGTCATCAAACGTTTGTATTTAATAAAATGTATAAACTTCTTTACTAAGAAGTAAATACAAAATTTAATCCATGAATATGATAGAATAGGCCTTTTCTGAGCATATTCACGGATTAAATTTTGTATTTACTTCTTAGTAAAGAAGTTTATACATTTTATTAAATACAAACGTTTGATGACCTTAGATTTTATGCACCATAGCAATATCAGAAACGCTATACGAATCCTTAATTTCTTGAAGGTCGAGAGCATGTCTAAGCTTGCCCACAATTTTTTTAAGTGCCGTCGTACATTTCGTCTTTTAATTGGTTCCTCAAAACCCAACCACCGTCCAAAAGCAATCCACAATTTTTTATTCACATTATCGACGGACGATTCAGGTGCATTAGCGTCGTCATCACAAACCAATCCATTAATGATATCTGTATCCAGTAATATTAGAAAATCAGGAGGGACTTCAGGTAACTCGAGAGATTGTTACTAGCCGATTTCGCTTCACGGATTAATGTCTCAACTAGTAGATCTTTTGTTGAAATTTCTTGTCGAGTCTTAGTTTCTTTAGATGAATTACGATCCATAGGGGAAGAGGAATGCTTATCCATTCTTTCGCCAAATAATCAACCTTATCACGAGTCATAGCCCACGAGTAGCATGTTGGGTTCGGTGCTATGAGTTTTTCGTAAATCTGAATCAAAGACTTATCTCTAAACGACTTGCTCAGCGACTAGATTATATTTTTTGCAAAACAAACGAATTGCCTTCGCCAGAACACAGGACTATCATGGCTCCGTTCTGTTCCACAAACCCATACAAATAACTAAGGCAACCGTCTTATCAACACAAAAAATAATCTAGCGCAAAGAAGTCTATATTATAAAATTCACGGCAATATTTACTATTTATTATCGAAGTTACTTCCGTGGATTTCATAGGAGAGCTTGTATCAACCTCTAGTTCGTGTTGGGTTGCAATTTGTTCTTGCTCATGTCTCTGTTTTTTATTTTTATGTGCACGTGCCTGTCGTGATAACTTTGCTGAATTTGCGACTGGTACTCCTTGCGATATGACGGTATCCGCTTTCCGCTTATTAGTAGACGCTTGCATTATATGTAGACGCTTGCATTATATGTAGTCGCTTGAAAAAAGAGAACTGAAAAAAGCGTGGGAGCGGGTTAAAAATAATCTCGGTATATTACTAAAGGGTGATTCAAAGCACTATTATTCGACGGGCCGTTAGGATTATATAGCCCTAGAGCCGATGTCCTACTCGAGAAGAATAGTAAACTTTCGCGGAAAAAAAAGAAACGTGGAGTAGAAGTGAGTAATCGTTGATAATAATCACCCGATCAAGATTGATAATGCGTCGTTATATGATATTCGATTTCGTAACAATACAATTGTTATTGTGATTGGCTAATTTATGTCGATCCAAGCATGATTATTAACCAATCAAAGAAATTAGTGAAGCTTTTATTTTAAATAGCAATACCAAATACTATTTTATTTTTTAGCCATCATTACCTTTACTAAAGATATTACAAGTCTTAGTCTACATCGGAAATTTAAACTTCGAACCTAGTGACGAAAGGCAAAGAAAAATATTCAGTTTAAAGAAATGCAAATATCTCCGCATGCAGTGGACCAAATTGAATGAATTTGGTACTATTAGAAAGGTCTAGTCAAGACGCATCCAATGGTATCAAAATCATTGAATTTGATTCACTAGATGCGGAGATATTAC